CGAGAACACTGATCAATGCAATAACAAACCACACCTTTAAAAGACTGAGGATTAAGCATGTAAAGGAAAAACGTGAAGAAACAAAAGAGCATCAGGGAAAAATTTACCAATACACAACAGAGAGCAGAGAGGAGTCCAGAGGATGACACTGACAAAAAGGGCAATGTTGGTACTACCACGTTAAATTTAATATGTTAAAAGGAAAAGTCTGTGAGTAGTAGATACACAGTTCTATGTACAGTTCTCAGTTCTCATTTTCTAGTCTTTATAGTTCATTTTTAAAAATATATATATTTCAAGTTGTAGAAATAGTCTAGACTGTGTTATTTAGAAATAAAAATTATATCTACTATATATTACATGTATATTATACATACATATATATATATAATATAGAAATAACCCTAGTCTATATTATATCTGAATATGGTGGCCAAGAGATCTTCTGAAGGAAATGGGCCAGGATGGTGAGAGATCTGGAAACTACAACACACAAGAAACAACTGAAACAACTAGGAAGAAAGGAAGGAAACAAGCATATATTAATCTCCTACTATGTGCCAGGCACTATGCTAAGTGTTTCACAAATATTATCTCATTTGGTCCTCACGACAATCTTGGGAGGCAGGTGCTATTATTACTCTCATTTTATAGTTGGGGAAACTGAGGCAGGCAGAGTTTAAGTGACTTGTCTAGGGTCACACAGGTAGTAAGCATCTAAGACCAGATTTGAACTCAGGTCCTCCTGACTCCAGGCTCTATCCTCTGAGTCACCAACTACCTCAACTAGGTAAGTATATTTAACCAGGGGAGAAGGTCAAAGGAACATATGGTATCTGTCTTAAAATATCTGAAAAACTATTGTTATATAACTTATATTTTATTCTTATGTTAAAGATTCTTATATTTTATTCCATATATATTTTTCCAAAGAGGAAAGAGGGGACCAATAAATATACTTTGCAAAAGGAAAGATTTTATTTCAACTTCACCAAAATTTTCTAACTGGAGCTGTCCAGCAATGGGATGGGCTGCTTTATTAGGTTATGTTGCTCAGTAGGGGCCCTTATGCAAAGTAGTTCAGTCAGGAGTCCTGTCCAAGACATCCCTGGACTTTGTGGGGGATTGCGCTAGACAACTTCCAAGATGTTTTCCAACTATAAATTCTATTCTCTTGATAGTTAATGACTACCCACGCATGTACTCACTAATAAGAAATTCCCAACCTGCCATACATTCTCACATGTTTAATAAGCATACACATTATTCTGTAGGCATGTTTTAGGAGTTTGGTTCCTTCCACCCACCAAAGTACTCTCAATTTAGTAACCTGGGCTAAAAACAGGAAATGTGACACTCAATGAGGGAGTGGTTGGTTTTAGGAACCTTTGGCATTTTTTTTCATTGAAGGACAATTCAGATCTCATCCCTTCTAGGAAGACTTCCTTGATTTAACCTCCTCATAGTTTATTACTAACCTTATTTGCCACAGTAACTCTTACACAACCAACTGACTCCATTCATTATGAATGAGAATATATTCTTGTTTTTAATATCCACATACCAAGTTATGTAAGGTTAGGATGCCAATTCTCATAATCCCAGACTTGAGATCCCTGCAATGTCAAAGGAATGACAACTGACAAAAATTTTGGGCTGAACTCTCTGTTTCATGCCAGGAAAAAACATGGAAGAAAGGAAATAACCTCTGACTTATCCTTTTTGAAACAGTACAAACTAACAGCCCAAATAGAAAAAGCTGGGATGGAACCTCATATAATAAATCAATTGTGCTACAAAAGAAAGACCCCTGTATTTAGAATTAGAGGACCTGGGTTCAACACTCTGTCTGTTGATCCATCTATCTATCTATCTATCTATCTATCTATCTATCTATCTATCTATCTATCTATCTATCTATCTATCTGTGTCTGTCTGTCTGTCTGTCCATCTATCTATCTATCATGTCTATCTGTCTAAAGCACTGGATGACAGAAAATCCCAAAAGATCTTGATAGCCTAGAACAAGGGGTTGGCAAACGATGGCCTATGGGCCAAAATCAGCCCCTGGGCTTATAAAATTTTGTAGAGCCTGAAAGTTAAGAATTGTTTTTACATTTTGAAATGATTTTTAAATTGTATTTAAAAATGTAACAAACATTCTTAGCTCTCAGGCCATGCAAAAAAAAAAACCAGGCAGCAAGCTGGATTTGGTCCTCAGGTTATGATTTGCCTACTCATGCGCTACAACATTGGGCCAACTCTAATAAGATTAAATTTGACATTAATAAATATAAATTTTTATATATGGGTTCAAAAAATCAACTTCACCAGTAAAGTGGGAGAGGCATGGCTAGAAGGCAGTTTAAAAAACATCTAGGACCACAAATTCAATTTGAGACAGCATGTGAGTAAAGAAAGCTAAAGCTGACTTCGTTTTTGTGCAATCATTTCAATCACATCTGACTCTTCATGATCCTATTTGGATTTTCTTGATAAAACTACTGGACTGGTTTGCCATTTCCTTCTCCAGTTCATTTTACAGATGAGGAACTGAGACAAATGGGGTTAAGTGATTTGCCCAGGGTCACACAGCTAGTAAGTGTCTGAGGTCAAATTTGAACTCAAGAAGAGGAGTCTTCCTGATTCCTGGCCTAGTACTTCATCCACTGTGCCAAAGCTGATGTAGGCTGCATAAAGAGAGGCATAGCTTCTAGAAATAAGGAGACAGCAGTCCCATTGTACCCTGCCTTAGCTAAACCTTGGTGCGTCCAATTCAGAGCAGAACATTTTGGGGAAGATGCTGATCGGCTAGCGAGCACTCAGAGACAACCATGATAATAAAGAACCTCAACTTCATACCACATGACAAAAAGTTGAAGGACTGGGAATGTTTGGCTTAGAGAAGATTTAGGGGAGACATAATTGTTATCCTATCATTGTGTATTTGAAGAGCTATCATCCAGAAGACAGATCAGATTCTTTGCCTAGGGTTGGACAAAGGAGAAATGGGTAGAAGTTGTGAAGAAGCAAATTTAAGCTTGACGTAAGGAATCACTTTCTCACTGTTAGCGCTATCTCATAACGGAAGACATTGCTTCGAAAATTAGTAGTTCTCCCCAGTAGAGATCTTGGACAAAGGCTAGAGGACCACTCATAAGATATGTTGTAGAATACATTCTTTTTCAGGCATGGCTGTACCAGATGGCCATTGGAGTCCCTTCCAATTAAAAATCTATGATTTTGGAACTCCTGGTCTTTTCCTTACTACTCATGACCTTGGACAAATCACATTTTGGGGTTTAATCGCCTAATCTGTAAAATCAAGTGGCCAGACTAGGTGATCTCTAACATCCTACCCAAGTACCATCTTCCACATGAATCCCACTATGCTGTCTTCTTCTTCTTGTTTTTAAACACAGCACCTTAATGAACTTTTACGATAACATGTGCAAATCTTATTAGTTCAAATGAACTCCCCCTTTTATTCGTTCTTCAGACAACATTGCTGGCTTGGGTGACAAAGTCAACACACATAGCAACTACTTTTGATAATTACTCTGCCAGTCACATTACCATGACAGCTCATAGGACTTAAATAAATACAGGTTGTAGAGAAGCATAAACAATAAAAGAAGACATATTGTTTAGGATTTCCATAGGTTTCCACTTCCCTAGGGTGTGCAAATTTAAAAAACCCAGCAAACACAAAGGTCTGAAAAACATACTACCCATCACTTTTATCATTTGGGCCTTCAACCATATGGGAATAGGAGAGGTGTTTGTTGTTACTGTCATTTTACAAAACAACTCTTGGGGCAGCTAGGTGGCGCAGTGGATAGAGCACCAGCCCTGAAGTCAGGAGGACCTGAGTTCAAATCTGGTCTCAGACCAAACACTTGACACTTACTAGCTGTGTGACCCTGAGCAAGTCACTTAACCCCAATTGGCTCACAAAAAAAGAAAAAACAACAACAACAAAAAACAACTCTCTCCCCTACAACTACCACAAATCCCTCATCTTTTTTTTTTCATCTCTATTCCATTTCAGGTCTTGAAATTATTGCCTTCACCTCCACTGGCACAAGACCTCTTGGATGTCCTTCCACCCTTTCTCCCAGGTAGTTCTGCTTTCCAATGCTAAATGCCTAGTGGATGGCTAAGGGATAGATTTGTTTTGTTTTGTTTGGTTTGGTTCTAATTGGAACAAGTGATCTCATTGATATTGGAAACTCCCGGTTACAATGCAAATCAGATTGTTCTGCAATTTACAGTCTTAGACTGTTGCCTGGGGGCACTGAGTACGTAAGCTAGTTGCTCATCTAGTTACATAGTCAGGATATTTGCTTTGACCAAGTCTCTCTCCAAGGCCAGATCTCTCCAACTATACCATATTTGTTTTCTGGAAGAAGGGTTATTGCTTCAGGGCCAGGGTCTGATTCTAAGTCAGAGGGATAGTTTTCTCATTCTTCTTTCAGCAGCTGTCCACTAGGATGAGTCGTTCATCTCTATCCCAGTTCCCCTATATCAACATGCCAGTTCTGATTGGCTGTTTCTCAATCCTCAAAAATATTGTGCTCTGGAAGAAGAAAGATGTGCCTCCTTTTAAGTGGTTCAATGAGCTTATTGGATTCCTAATGCCAAAGCAAAGCAGATGATGTTCAACTTGGTGTGAAATACTATGCCTTGAACGTACTGTACTTAGTCGAGGTGGCGGTAGCAAATAGAGAGCTGGGCCTGAAGTCAGGAAGACTCATCTTGCTGAGTTCAAATCTGGCCTCAGACACTTACTACCTGGGTGACCCTGGGCAAGTCACTTAACCCTGTTTGTCTCACTTCTTCGTATGTAAAATGAACTGGAGAAGGAAATGGTAAACCACTCCAGTATCTTTGCCAAAAAAACCCCAAATGGGGTCATGAAGACTTAGACCCAACTGAAACAAAACAACAACATCAACAACAACCATATCTATCTTCCCAGGAGGCCCCAGCTACATTACCATATCTGTAGGTCTAGGGTGATCCGTCTTCGGTTGCACTGGCTGGTGTGGGCCTTGACACCATTGACCTTGGGGCACTGAAAAAGAACATGGAGAAGTTACTGCTGCTTTGATTTCTGAGATGTACCTCCTGTGGATACCACATGAAAAATTGGAACCCATAAAACCATGGATACCACACCAAACTCATTATGTTGGAAAAGGCAATAAAAGTAATGATGATCCCAGGTCACTGACAATTCAGATGAAGCACAAATGGATGTACATTCATACATTAAAGCAGCTCCTGTGTTTTCCCCTTTTATTTGCTTCAAACTCTTTTGATTCACCTCAGACCCAGAACTGACCCAATCTCACCAAAGCCCTTTGGTTATGACACAGGACAGACCTCTTTGAACCAATGTTCTACCACCTTCTCCCCCTACATCTCTATCAGCCCTATTCCTTATAGACAATAAGATCACAGAATTTAGAGTTGGAAGGAACCTTTGAGATCTAGTCTAATACCTGCATTTAACAGATGAGAAAAATGAGGCATAGGTATGTATATGTGTGTGTGTGTGTGTGTGTGTGTGTGTGTGTGTATGTGTGTGATGTTATCTGTGTGAGTCACTCAAGCAGGAAAGGGCAGAGTAGGGATTTGAATCTAGGTGTTTTTTCTACTATATGCCATAATAGTATGATTATTATCCTTATTTTACAGATGAAGAAAATTAAGGTCAGAAAGGCTGTATGTCCATGCTCACATAAGCTAAAATGCTCAGGATTTGAACTCAGGTTTCCTTACTCAAAATTTTATACTTTCTTCATTAGTTGCCCTCCCCCCAACTCATTCCTACCTCCAGGTAGGGCAGGACCAAGTCAGATTTGCCTCTGGGGAGGAGCCTGGGGTATTGGGAAACTCAGTCTCCATTTAACTCATTCACTTGTTTCCTCTGCCTTCTTTCACTTTTACCCTAACCTCCACACGTCTACCCTTGCATCTCTTTAAGATGTTTGCTATAAAAAGGCCCAATTAAAAGAATAATATGAGTTGAGAGTGGGATGGAGGGAGTATGGAATAAAATAAAGCCATGATTCAATCTAGTTTAATTGATGTAAGAGAATGAGCCTTACATACCTGCTTCTGTTTAAATTACTTTGTTCTTTGCCATCTCCATTAACAGCAATGGGGCCTTATTTTTTAAACAAATAGGTAGTCGTAAAACTCTTCTTTCCTTTAAAACCTTAATACCTTCTTTTATGTGCTTATTTCATTTTATTTTGAAAGGGACTGTGTGTTATCTGTCTTTGTCCTCACCAAGGCCTAGCACAATGCCTTGTACATAGCAGACATTTTTTAAATGTTGGTTGAATTGCTGTATTACAGTCTAATTACTTCCTAGGAATCGTATCTCCTAAAGGCACCTTATATCAATAATTTGATCAGAGTAATTGGACAGAGAAAGACTGATGATACATAAGATGAGCCCCAATTCTAAAGTCAAGACCAGGAAAGGGAAAAGGTATGAAGATGAACTTGAACCACCTTCAGTGATTGATGCTAACAAGAACCCAAATTCTCAGAATGAGATTAGAATGTAACCTCCTCGAGGGCAGAGATTATTTTTCATTTTGTATTTGTATCTCTAGTGCCTGGCACATGAATTAGATTAATTATTTTTAAAAAAAGATTAATTATTTAAGGAAGAATAAAATAGTAGATAAAACACTACTGAACTTAAAGTCAAGAACACCTAGGTTCAAATCTTACTTTCTGCAATTATCTATGATTCTGAGCAAGTTACCCTGAGCAAGAAAACTTCTCTGAGTCTCAGTGTCCTCATCTGTAAAATGGGGTTAATAATATCTTTAGTACCTTCCTTACAAAGCTGTTGTGAGGTTTGCATGTGTAAAGCCCTTTGCAAACATTATAGCACTGCCTAAATGTCAGTTGGGCAGCTAGGTGGCACAGTGGATAGAGTGCTGGGCCTAGAGACAGGAAGACCCGAATTCAGAACTGGCCTCAGACACTTACTAGCTGTGTGATCCTGGGCAAGTCACTCAATCCTGTTTGCCTCAGTTTCCTCATCTGTAAAACCAGCTGGAAAAGAAAATGTCACACCACTCCAGTATAATTGTCAAGAAAACCCCAAACGAGGTCATGAAGAATCAGACGCGGCTGAACGAGTAAACAACAACAAAAAATGTCAGTTATTACTCTGATATTCTAATCTCTAATTTTCTAAAAGTCCTTCATTTGGAGCAATTTTCTTAATGCTTTTATCCAAATGTTCTCAGAAAATAGCCAGCATAAAATGTAATTGTTAAAAAATTGCCTGCAAACCCAGGAATTGTAAAATGATAGGAAAGCATATTCAAATGAATAGGTCTTGAGGCAACACAAATCCACATGTGATGGTCTTCTGTGTGGTGTGCAGAGAAGGGAGGGTCAGAAAGCAAATATATGTCCCTGTGTCTCTGGCACTTTTTTTTTTTTTTTGGGTGAGGCAATAAGGGTTAAGTGACTTGCCCAAGGTCACACAGTTATGTGTCTGAGGCTGGATTTGAACTCAGGTCCTGCTGACTCAAAGGCCAGAGCTCTATCCACTGTGGCACTTTCTACAGAGTCAAAAGAGAGGGAGGGCACTTTAACAGAGGGGAAAAGCTCAGAAAGGAGTGTTTGGGGTTAAATGAGTGGACCAGCCAGGAGTGAGGCATTCATGCTGAGGAGCGGTGGGACCCAAGGTTAGAAAGGTAAATTGGGGCCAGATTATGGAATGACTATTCCCATCTCTATCCTTTTATACTTGTTTTGCCCTTACTTGCTATGCTGTTACTTACAAGTTCTACAAGGACTGGAATTGTGTTATCTTGTGATCAGTTTCCTAATCCACGTTTCAAAACTTAGCTCAAGTTCTATTTCCCTTCTGGAAATCCCTCCCCCAACAATGCCCATACATAGAGCTCTATCCATCTTCTGAGTACCTAAGCATTTATTATCTGGACAACACATTTGACAATTTGGGCCAATTAAAAAAATACACCGCATGGGAGGCTTGAAGGGATTAAAAGGTAAAAACTGACAGCCCCTGCCTTCAAGAAGCTTAGATTTGAGAGAGGGAGATCTGATAGGTACACAGAGAAGGTATAATCTAAGGTAGGCTGGAGGCAGTAGAGCAGGAAGAATTTTGAATTTGGACTCAGAAGAACTGGGCTCAAATCCTTACTCCGCCACTTAGTTACAAGGGTGAACCGGAGCAAGTCACTTAGACCTCTCTGGGCTTCAGTTTTCTCATCTGTATGATGAGGGGGTCACACTAGATGACTTCTGAGGTCTCCTCCAGTACTGGATCTGTCATCCTACATGATCCTGTAACCTCTAGAGTCCCTTTCAGTTGTCAGTCTGTGACGTGACGGGGCAAAGGAGAGATCAGACAAAATGCTCTAAGAAAGGGAGAGGGAGAAGAGAACACTTTCAGCTAGAAGGGAAATCGTGTACTGCATTGTACACTTATTTTATTTCTATCTTTCCAGACAGTCTGATTTTATACTACAGAGAGGAGGTTCCCAAACTTATTTGGCCTGCCACCCCTTTTTTAAAAAAAATTACTCAGCATTAACCCTGGAAATCCACTTTCTTTAACCCTTTAATGTTTTTTTCTTTTAAATGGCATCATTTCAAATTACTACCACCCCCCTGGATTGTTCCAGTCTCCTGCCCCCCACCCCCACCCCAAGGGAAGGTATTGCTCACTTTGGAAACCTATGCACTAAGTATCAGTTTATAATCTAGAGTTACCAGGTAGATAATCTAAAGTTTAATCTAGATTAAACTAGATTTAACTAGTTTAAACTAAATCTAGTATAATTTAGAGTTACCAAGTCTAGAATAACGTCCATTATATCTCTCCCACAGTGCAATGCACATAGTAAAAATCAGCAAATCAAATAGTTTCAATGAAGATAGACGGGATGTTCTCCACCTGTTTCCTCTGTTTTCCATGGGTGTTTTCTCTCCATGGGATCCAGCATCAATGCAAAATTAGGTATGTTTGCTGCACCGGACACTGAGGAACTCTGAGCCTGGCACTGAGAGGAGCTGGGAAGGAGACAGTTGCTTGGACTTGGACAGTGACGCTGGGACAAGTGGCTGAGGCCAAATGTGCATTTGGGACCAAATGGAATCTGGGAAACTTTGGTTATTAGTGAGAAGGGTGGGAGGGAAGGTGGGGAAGGCAGGGTGAGGGGAGGAGGTCTGAAAACAACCCACTCCTTAAGCAGACTAAGTTACCAACCTTTTGTCCAAAGCACAGTTTGGTGAAAGTGAATGTTTTGAGATGGGTGCTCTTTTCTCTGATCTTTGGCTGGAGTTTTTCTCGAAGTTTCTTCTCCATGATCATGCCAAGGTAGGGCCAGATCTGTGATATGATCTATGTGGGAGAGAAGTCCACACACACACATACACACATACACAAAATGAGATCTCCATTGTATCTAACTGATGGTCAAGGGATATTTAGGTCCTAATTCTTAATATTCTTACCAAGATTGGTCACTCTGTAGTCTCTTGAATTGACTGAAACAATCTAATTACTTTTAAACCTCTGGAGCAGCTCTCATAGTCTGTCATGTCTGGTCAGGGAGCATGGCCATCTCTGAAGGACTTTCAATGCTGAATAGCAGGAAAGGGGTTGCCCCTAGTCATATTCTAACTAAAGACCAAGTGGAAACAAGAATGGTCCGGGAATCAAGAGACCCGGGTTCTAGCCCTGGCTTATTGATTGTGTGCCTTTGGTGAACTATTTGATCTCTCTTGACTTATTTCTTCATATGTTAGTCAAGGGAATTGAACTCGATGATGGTGAAGGTCTCTTTTGCCTTAGGACTAATGTATTTAAAGTAATAAATACCATTTAGATCATCATCATTGACAACAATGATAATAGCTAACTTTTATTTAATGTCCACCAAGTGTTAGACATTGTGCTAAGTGCTTTGCAAATATTATCTCACTTGATCTTTACAAGAACCTTGAAAGGTAGGTATTGTTATTGTTCCTATGTTTCTGTTGAAGAAAGTGAAGCAGGCAGAGGTTAAGTGACTTGTTTAAGGTCACACAGCTAGTAAATGTCTGAGGTTTTTCCAGGGCCCCCAGGCTTTAGTGGGATCAATGATCTTGTATTTCTTTTTGGAAACCACTTCACTGTCCATATATCAATCTTTTCAATTAATCCTCTCTAAAAACCTGTCTTTGGACAATAGGAAAATGAGAAGATTTAATTTTTAAGGATTATAGGTTTAACTTGGAAGGGAATTTGGAGGTTCCATTCCCCGCCCTACCTCCATTTTAAAGACGAGTAAAGGGATTTGTTCTAGGTCATATAGCTAGCAAATGGCAAAATTAAGATTAGAATCCACGTTTTCTGACTCCCAAATTCAGAGCTTTTTCCACTGTGCTTGCAAAGGCAGTGATGCCAATCTTCTCTAAGATTATCCAACTTAAGGAAAGTCTTAGATAATAATTTCTTGTCCCTCCTGAAATGAACCCCTGGAAACCTTTTATTAACACATTTTTCTCTCATTTAACAACAGTCCTATCAATACAATAAGTGACAATCTTTATATTCCTCATACATCTTTCTTTTTTTTTTTTAAGAGTTTTTCATTTGGTTCCATTTGACCAGTGCCCTTAATTACCAATCTCATGTCCTTTCTGACTCTACTTCCTAGGCAGGACTACTCTCTCAACCTTCAACACTAACTCTACCAGTGAAAGTAAGGAAAAATCCTCTAATCTCTGGTCATAGATACAGGAATCTCTAGGGCAGGGTTTTTTTTATGGTAATAAAATATTGCCCTTTGTCAATCTGGTGAAACCTATGGATCTATTTTTAGAATAAGGTTTTTAAATGAATAAAATACATAGAATGACAAAGAAAATCAATTATGTTGAAATAAAGTTATCAAAATATAAAATTAAAAAAAATAAGTTAATGGACCTCAGGTTAAGAACCCCTGTTGTAGGGTTAATATATCAGAAAACAAGTCAAAATACTCAACACATAGAACCCACTTTTTCTCCTGTGTTACCAAGAGATTAGGTGAGCTAATAAATGCACTAGCTAGAATGTCCCGTAACTGTCCAGGGGACCCCTCTTTATTTATTTATTTGTGAGGGAATTGGGGTTAAGTGACTTGCTCAGAGTCACACAGCTAGTGAGTATTATGCATCTGAGACCAGATTTGAACTGAGGTCCTCCTGACTCTAGGGCCTGTGCTCTGTCCACTGTACCACCTAGCTGCCCCACCCCTCTTTATTTTTAACTTTCATCTCACACTCTGAAACATAAATGCTTTCAGTCTCTTAATCACATGAGGCATTAAGGCAGGAGCCCTTGACAGAGATTCTATCATTAACTACCTGTGTGACCCTAGGCAAGTCTCAATCATTCTGGAGTTTCATTTTCTCACCAATAAAACAGGGATAATTAACACTTTTCCTCCAATAACACAGAGAGGTGATGAGATTCAAATGAGATAATGGATATGAAACACTCAGAAAAGTATGAAGCTAAACAATGCAATATAAAATAATGTATCTGGCTTACTTAGCTGGTATGTGTGTGTGTGTGTGTTCAGTGGAAATAGAGAACTGGATAGAAGGTTGTCTCTGAAAAGCAGGGGTGGGGAGGGGGGAAGTCCCTATCTTATGTGGCCTTCCTGGGTAGCCTACTAATGAGAACTCTCTTGTGGAACTGGGCTAATAAGTAACATGAGACAGATGGAGGAAAAAAGAAAAAGGGAAAAGGGAGTAAGAGAGAGAAGTCATGTCAATGACCAGCTGACTAGCAGAAGTAGCTAAATGAGAACAGACAATATGGAATAGGGAAAAGAGAAGGGACTTTGAATTCAGAAAACTTGGGTTTGAATCTGTGTGATCCCCGACAAGGTACTCAAATGACCAAGGCTTCAGTTTCCTCATTTATAAAATGACCCATTTGGATCAGAGGATCTCTAGACTCATTCCAATTCTCAAAATCTGGGGGCTCTGAGTGGAGCACTGGTACCTAGTAGGTACTCAACACATGCATGATTATTCCTGCAAAGTAGAAAAAAAAAACCTGACAAAGGCACTCAGCACATTGAACCCCCTCTGATGGTCTTTGGACAAGAGTTAGACCAGGGGTGAGGAACCTGTGGCCTGGAGGCCACACATGGCCTTCTAGGTCCTTAGGTGCAGCTTTTTGACTGAGTCCAAGTTTTACAGAACAAATCCTTTTATTAAGAGGATTTGTTCTGTGAAGTCAAAGGGCTGCACTTGAAGACCTAGAGGGTCACATGTGGCCTCAAGGCTGCAGGTTCCCCACCCCTGAGTTAGATAATATGGGCAGGCATGGAAGGGCTGTAGCCTGTATCTTTTGGAGCAAATACCCACCAACAAGCATTTATTAAATGCCTACTATATGCCAGGTGCTAGGTGTTAGAAATAGTAAGATATGAAAGAAACAGTCTTTATCCTCAAGAAGCTTACATTCCACCCAGGAAAACAGCATATGTATACATGTATGCCTATATGAGATACATACAAAGATTCCACTGACACAGACCCCCATGAAACATCGAGATACTGCAATAATCACCTGATGACAAGAAAAAAAGCCAAAGAGATCTAATGTCTGGGCCAATGAAGAAATATTCCTGCAGTTTTTCAGCTCATCCAGAACCCATAGTAACACTGGGACTTGAACACTAAGCCAGGGCTCCTGACTCATCTCTTCTGAAAGGCATTCAGGAGAGTTTTGAATTGCTATGGTTTCTGCCTGCCAGGTGGAAACTAGATTTTTTTTTCCTCCCTCAAGGACCAGAAACACTCATCTTTTGTGTTTGTCACTTAAAGGCTACAGAAACCACACAGAGAGAAACCTGTGAATTAACTTGAGGACTCTGGGAGAAGAAAACAAACATTCTCATGAAACTGGGGGGAGGTGGCAGCTGGGTACCTAGTTCACAGGCTCTTAGATTTAAAGCTGGAAGGGACTTCAGAGGGGATCAAGGACAGCCCCCTCACTTTACAGATGAGGAAACTGAGGCTCAGAGAGGTTAAGTGACTTGAACCCAAGTCTCCTGACTACAAATATCATACACTGCCTCTCTGACAATCAGAAACTATTATCTTTTAGGGAAAAGTTGCTATTTTTTCCATCTTAAAGATACCGCAAAAGTCAGCAAACCAACTGCAGATAACAAAAGTTACAAAAATATGTGCTTTGGGTACTTAAGACATCTACTTTCTACTAACTGGCCTCTCACATATAATTCATTTCTCAATTGATTCTACAGGTGAACCCCTTTTCCTGTCCCCTAGTTACATTCTTAATGACTCAGTATGCCCTACATGAAGGAAGAGGGTAGCTAAGAATAATTATAGACCTTGCAAAGGTTCTGATTTGGAGGTCAGAAAGTAGCTGGAGCAGCCTTAGCTGGTTCTCCAACTCCAGCTTCCCCATCTTGAATGCAAATTGGTTCTTACCTTGTTGACCCATTCAACCCGCTCCACATCTGGGAAGTGGATCTAGGGTGGAAAAACAACAAATAAAAAATAATTTAAAAAAAAACATCTCACAGCTAGAACATGTAAATTAACATAAGCAGATAAAGGAAGTATACTTTTATAATAAACGACCAATGGTATTCAATAGGCACTTTTCCAAGTTTTAGTAGTCTCAAAGATCTGTCTTCCCCTTACTCTTCTCACTGTGCAATTTTATAATGACCAACCTTGGTCCTCACCTCCCATCCCTTCCTTCCTCTATAGGAGTAGAGGGCTATGGGCATAGAACACTGCATATAATGCCAGATTTGGTTGACATATCGGTTATTTTTGCTGAGCTACCTTTTTTTGTTTTATAAAAAATATTAATTATAAAAGATCGATGTCTTGATGATGAAGGGAAAAGGGACAAATGAGGAAATGAAGGTGATATTGAAACAAAAGATATCAATTTACTTTTTGAAATGAGCCTTCAGTAGTAAAGAAGGCTAAGAGGTATGATCAGAAGGCTATTCTTTTGCTCATGTAAGCTAAGCTGTTTTGTTTTTTTTTGCTTTGGATACTGCATTCTAAGTCACGGGCAGATCTACCTGTTGCTGTGTTAGGTCATATGGTAATAATATCACAGATTTCAAACTGGAAGGGGCTTTAGGGGCCCACATTTGAGGAAATAGTCACGAAAAGGTTAATCAATTTGTCCACAGTCACCCAGCTAGTAAGCACCTAAGGGTGGGAACTAAATCCAGTTCTTTCTGACTTCAAGTGCAGGACCCTATTCACCTTACCTCACTACCTTTCAAAACAACAAAAAACAAGGTATTTGCAGGCGTCATTCTGAGATGATAGAAGAATTAGTATGGTTTTCTCTTTAGATGGCTGACTTTTTAACATTGAACTTGAAAATGTAGTCTATTTTGCTCTGGAAAACTAAAATTTAAAACATCTCCTTTCTCTATTATTAGGTAGAAGGTATTGAGAGCTACTCTTAGAGTCAAGAAGACCTGATTTCAAGACCCACATTTGATACAAATTGTCTGGTGACCCTGGGCAAGTCATTTTCTTAACTTCTCTGTGCCTCAGGCAGCCTTCTAAAACTGTAAATGTCAGTTAGAAAGAGTTTCTAACACCAGTGAAATAACAGGTCTAGTTAAAAAAACCAAACCAACCCATCACAAATTACACTTCTGAAGAATTTCAAGATTTACAAAGCACTTTCCTCATAACCCTGTGAGACAGGTTATCAGCTAGGGAACTCAGTAGATGGAGTGAGTGTTGGCCCTACAGCCAGGAAGACCTGAGTTCAAATTCAGCCTCAGACATTTACTATCTGTATGTTCTTGGGCAAATCACTTAATCTCTATTTGTGTCAGTTTAACTCATCTGTATAATGGGAGTAATAACAACACTTACTTCCAGGGTTCTTGTGAGGATCAAATGAGGTAAAATCTGTACAAATTAGCACAGTGCATGGCACATAGTAGGTGCTATGTAAATGCTTATTCCCTCCCCCCTTCCCTTTGTTTGCCGATTCTCCCCCCCTCCCCTTGGAGTACCATTATCCTAATTTTACAAATAAGCAAACTGTCTCAGAGGGGTGAATTTCCCGTCCTGATAAACCTAGTAGGTGGCAGAGTCAGAATTCAAACTCCAGTCTTCAGATTCCTAGGCCAGCACTTTTCTCACTACTCCCACTCTGCCTCTGCAGGTGAAATTCAGTGAATCAGTGAAATCCCCATGCTTCCAAGTCAGAGGGACCTAGGACTGGGGAGGACTGGTAACCTGTGAGGGGGGCATCCCTGGCCAGCAGGCTTGGGGCTAGGATACACACTACACTGTGTCTCACCAGACAAAAGATCTCTGCGGCTGCCTAGATTGTGCCTATCATTCTACTGCTGAACTAAAGCCTGAAAATGAGATTAGATCACAGGATTATCTACCTTGCAAAGTGGAGAGAAACCTGATGGAATCCAAGCATGCCAGGTATTCATTTTCATTGCTTAGATGACTTAAGGCTTTTTATAACTGTACAGGGTGCCGGAGTGGACAAATCACTGAGCTTGAAGTCAGGAAGACTCATCTTTGTGGGTTCAAATTAGCCTCAGACACTCACTAGCTGTGTGACCCTGGGCAAGTCACTTAACCCTGTTTGCCTCAATTTCCTCATCTGTAAAATGAGCTGGAGAAGGAAATGGCAAACTACTCCAGTATCTCTGCCAAGAAAATCTCAACTGGGGTCACGTAGAGTGGGACACAATTGAAATGACTGAACAACAACAATGGGTTCTCTGTTCCTGAAGTGCCATAGGACAAAGAAGAAATAACACTGAAAATGGGGCATCATGGAGCAGTGGAAAGACCTGAGTTTGAATCCCAGTTCTGTCACTTACTAGCTGTGACCTTGAGAAAAACCACAAACTTCTCTGGGCCTCCATTTCTTCATCTATAACATGAGGTGCTTAGATTCAATGGCCCTTAAGGTCTCTTCTACCACTAGATAGATCACACTAAGAACAGTCAAGATAGAGAGAGTATTTAGACTAGAGCAAGTATAAGCAGAAGAAACCAGTGCTGGAGAATGCATGATTTTGAAAGCATTGAGGAATCAGTTTTCAAAATAGCTGAAAAGGAGGAAGATATATTTTTTTCTTTGTTACAAGGGAAAATTCAATTCCAGTGGTGAGATATGTCTAGAAATGGTTATGATGTCCAAGTAAATAGCATCCATAAAACATTTCTTTTTCCCAAAAGGAGTGGAAAGATACCAAATGGCAAAAAAAACCAAAACAGACAGTATTGCTACAAAAAAAAAAACAACAAACAACTGAGAAGATAACAATTACTGACCCATAATGCCTTTCTCATCTCCACTGTCATAATGAGAATGGTCTACATGCATATCAATGAAATCCTTGAAGAAAATATGAGAAATGAACAGGTAGGCTTTCACAAAACAATCTTCTATAGCACATCCTATCTTTATAGTCATCTAACTGATCAAAAGGTGTGGAGAATAGAAGAAACTATGATGTTTATTGACTAAAAAAACAAAAAATATTCATTTGCTTGGTAAAGCCAAATGCTACCTTAAAGTTTCTCCTCCAACAAGATGTCTCCCATGCATAGGTTATCATAAGATATTCTTTGATAGATGATAGAGAAAATTTTATGAAAATCCTCTGATAATTAATGTCAAGTGAAGTATAAAACCTTTGTCAACATGCTTGAAAAGGGGTCTGCCACTGTCATGAAGGAGGTCCAGCACACATTCCAAATTGACCAAATTCATCATTTATTTATTTATTTTTAGGCAATTGGGGTTAAGTGACTTGCCCAGGGTCACACAGTTAGTAAATGTCAAGTGTTTGGTCTGAGGCTGAATTTGAACTCAGGTCCTGTGGATTTCAGGACTGGTGCTCTATCCACTGCGCCACCTACCTGCCCCTAAATTCATCATTTATTCATCAGCCTGTCTATACTCATCATACTCTCCCGTTACCCTTTGGGTTTATCTGTAATTCTGATTACTTGAAAATTCTGATGTTGCAATGATTCAGACAAATAGAATGACTAGAACAATACTGTTGTTAAAAATATTGGGGTTTGTTTCATGGAGAAGCCTAAGATCAATGACAGCATGATACAGTTTCCTAAAATTAGCCTAGCTGACACTCTTCCTCCTGTTCAGCTATGGGTCATCTCAATTTCTATCTGCAGTTCTTGAATTAGCACTATAGCTGTCCATCCAACTGCTTATTGTAGTCTAATGTAGGGGCTGTTAACCTTTTTTATTTCATAAACTCCATTGACAGCCTGGTGAAGCCTATGGGCCACTTCTAAGAATAATGCTTTTAAATATGTAAATTTTTAAAAAACAGAATTACAAAGGAAACTAATTATACTGACCTACAGTTATCAAAAAAAATTTTTCAGTTCAGGGACTCCCAAGTAGAAACTCCTAGTCTAGACAATATGTAGTTTTCATTCCCATAACTTTTACTAGGTGGAAAGTTAGACTGAACTCTTTGGGGGTGATCATGGATTTATTTAGGAGACTCTGCAGTGTTTTAGAGTTTAATACAATCAGCACGATGTCTGCAGATGAACATCTTGTTGTTCGTCCTTTGTTCTCAAAGAGGACCAATAACATCAAGAGGGTGATGTCTTAACTTGCAAGTGAATTGGATTTAAGTGAGGCAGGGCTGTGCAAAGTCATCAGCCTCACTGTCTCCTCTAGAGTCATTGGAGTCTAGTGGCAAGACATAGGTCAAGATGAAGACCTAACAATGCAGTCTGGTATAGTGTTTCACCTGGAGTTGGAAGGACCTGGGTTCAAATCCCCAGTCTAATATTTACTAGTTATGTGATGCTGAGCAAGTCACTTAACTTCTCTGGACCTCAGTTTCCTCATCTGTTAAATGAGGGAGTCGCATTCAAACTCCTCATCCAAGGTCCTTTCTAGCTCTTAAATCTATGGTTTTTCAATCTATAGAGAATCCCATTTGGACTCTACAATGGACAACCTCCATGACAGCGACAAATGTCTTCAGTATGTTTGTTTACTGTTTCACGAAGGTTATCTTGTGCATACTTTGTATGTTTCTTGTATTATTTAACTACATGAATACTTGTAGAAATGTAAATTCTTTGAGTGTGGGGACTGATTTATTCCCTTTTCTCCTTCCTTTCTTCCTTCTTTCCTTCTTTCTTTCCCTCCCTCCCTTCTTCTCCTTTTATTTATTTATTTTTTTTTGTACTCCCAGTGTTTAGCACAATTCCTGGAACAGAGTAAGTGCTTAAATGCTTGTTGATTGGTAGATAACAAGAATATTATCCAACACCATTAGCATCTATAAAGGAGTCTTATATGCTCTTAACTTATACATGAGATACCTTATAAAAGATATAGTTATTAAGGGGACATTTTGCTTTACCACATTAAATGTTTTTTAGATTCAACAAACAATATATAGTGGGATTTTGTATTTTCTATAACTTTCAGTTACTTGTGTCATTGTAAAGAT